CCTGTCCACTTCAAGATCATATCTGTAATTTATGTAGGATTGATAACAGAACAGAAATATTAAAAAGGCAAAAGACAAAGCGGGGTTTTGTTTGATAAATCTTGTATCAGTTTTGCTTGCACCAAATATGATACCCAGCACACAGAATCACATGGTATAGAATAATAATAGAAGAAATTGAAAATATGTATGTATAAATATGTATATATAGATGACTCAAAATTATGCATAAAAATCTTGGAAAGATATGCACCAAAATGGTAACAGTTGTTAGCAATGGGTTAGAAGATTACAGCAACAAGGAGTGAGGGAGGGATGGAAAAATATATATTTTAAAAATTGCAGTGACTTATTTTCCTTCCCTGTGCTTTTCTGAGTCTTCCCAAATTTCTATAACTAATGAATTCTAAAATCAGAAAAAAGATTTTTGTTACAAAGACATTTTTCCCAGAAAACAATGTTTCCAATGAAGTTGTATTAGATACAAAATCAGTGACTGTGATAATAAGAATAACTAATGTTTATTTAGCATTTCCTGTGTGCCAGGCCCTGTAGTAAGTACTGTACAGAAAGCATTTCATTTAGTCCCCACCCTCTAATGTAGGTATTGTTCTGACCCTCATTTTGCAAACGAAACAACACAAGTTCTTTGTGTGAAATCAAAGAGCTGGTAAGTGATGACGCTGCAGATGTGAACCCAGGATCCAACTCCAGGACTCCCACACCCATGTGCCAGCCACCAGGCTTCCTGCCTCTAACCATGCTGCTTCCCCAAAACCTCACCGTTCTGTTTTTGATTTTCATGTCTTCTTTGCTATTTATTGATTCTCATCCCTTTTTGGGAATGTTCAGAAATAAACAATGTGTGCATTTCTGGCATGTGGAGGCAGTCAGGCAACCACAACACATAATCCTCTGCTGTGAACACACACACCTTCCCCAAGGGGGACATAAGAACATGAGAATTAAAAAGCAAACCCTCCAACTGTCAGCTCTCATGGTACCACGAACCTCTCCTTCCAAACACTGGTCACACCTGCTCTCTACATTTGCTTGCTGTTTGATTACTTCTACCTGCCAACCACTTTTCAGAGCGCTTTGCATGCATTGCTTTTCTTCTCACCATTACAGTTTCCACTTTACACAAGGAAACTCAGGACCAGAGACGCTAAGAGACTTGCTGAAAGTCTTAGAGCTGAGGTTTGAATTCTAGAGACAACATTCTCAAATCAATAAAGAATGAAGGCACACCTCTCCATTTTCTAAAAAATGTTCTCTCATCAGGATTGCTTCATTTTATTTCTGTAAGTCTTAAATATTTCACATAAATCATACTTCTAATATTTTTAATTATATTTTCCAACTGGTTATTTGAGATACTTAAGAAAATTTGTTTACATGTTAGCTTTGTATCCTTCGTAAACTTACTGAACTCTCTCATTAACTGTAGTAACTTTAGTTGATTCTCCATTATATCAGCTACATAATCTCCTAATTTCTATAAATACTAATTTTGTCTCCTCCTTTCCAGTATAAAGATATCTTTATTACATGTTGTACAACTACACTGTCAGTAATGACAGTAGGGAGGGTAAGGTACCCTCCCAAAACTACATTAAAAGCAAGGGCAGGCATCTTTGTTTTGTATTTTATTTCACTGGGGATGCTCCTACTGACTCAACATTAAGTATGATACCAGTTGTTGGCTTAATATAATACCCTTCCATTGTGTTCAGGAACTAGTCTTTGAGTCCTATTTGACTAAGAATTTTTATCAGGAATGAATACTGAACCTCATATCAAATGTATTTCCTAGACAGATAATTATGACTATCCTCCTAGCTATTCATGACAAATATTATTAATGTATTTTATATCATAAAACCATATTTTCTATTCTAACTCTACCTAATTTGACTATAGTTTTTTAATATATGAAAATAAAAATTAGCTGATTTTGTTTAATGTTTTATGTAGTTTGAATTTTATTTCTTTTAGTTTGAATTAAGTTACAATTTTTAAAACTACATCCATAGCTATTCACTGCCTGTCTCCCATCTCTCTTTAACACCTCCCACCAGGCCTAATTCATCCCCCACAACATGAACAGAGCCACTTTTCTAGATCACACATGCGGCTACTTCTCTCTTATTCTCAGAAACCTACAACTTCACCATGTTTCTGTATTATAAAGTACACATCTTTTAGCATGATAATTACTGTGCTTTATAAGATGGCCCCAAACTGTCTTTTAATCTTCATTTCAACCATGATTCCCAAATAACACTCACTTGGGATTCCTTTTCTCATGATTTTCCCAAAAAAATCCTTCCTTATTTTCTTCACCAGGACAACTCTTTTCTTTCTTGGGCCAACACACTGCCACCTCATCTATGTCCCTCCCCAGACCTCCCTGTTATTTCATCCCAGAGAACCAAGTATACAGGTCTCTGTTGTGGGACTTGCCCCGCCTGACTTGTGTAGTTACTCATTTGGAGTAGCGGTCAGCAAACTTCTGTGAAGAGTCAGATGGTAAAAATTTCAGGCTCTCCAGGTCTCATGTGCACATTTCTATTAAATTTTCCCCTGCGTTTTAATAAGGTAAAAACCATTATTAGCTCACAGGCCATATGAAAACAGGCCACCAGGCATCAGCGGTACTTTGCCTCTCATGGTTTAGAGGCTCACCACCCACTGGACTATAAGCTAGCTGAGAGAGGGGGAGATCTCTAACCCATCTTCATCATCTTCAGCTCCTGGCGCTTGGAAGATGTTCAAATCGCTGAAGTTGATTGACTGAGAACAGTGATAACTAATATATCCTGATGAGTCAGATATACATTCATGGATAATTATTTCCCCAAATCTTGAGCTATTTCAACAAAAAGTAATTTTGGATTTTGAGCCTCTTAGGTATCTGGGCATTAAAAATGAGCCATGCCATGTCCATGGGGATAGCAGGGAGGTAGTTTGAATTTCACTTGTTCAATAAATAAAATGAGGCTTTTTGCCTCATTTAGTAAGAAAGGCTATGATATCAGCCAAAGAGCCTCTCCCTCTCCAAATATAGAAAAAGTGCCTCTCTGATCACAGAGTTCACAACTACACTGCTCCCTGGCCTCACAGAATATAACACCAGCTAACTCCAACTTTACAAGTAGCCCACTCAGCTTCTCATCCCAGAAAATCATCCAGACTTTTGATGCTGTTTTGAGTATTTACCATGTATCCAGCCTAGCTATCAGTGATTCATTTTCCTCCCATCTCCTGAAAACTGGGGAGAAAGCATTGTCTAAATTGTTAAACGCAAGAGAAACAACTGTCAGATTTCATTATTATTGCTAACACCCTGCTCCCTGATTCCCCCAACCAGAATTGTCCAGAAACGTGAAGGTCGCCCCTCTCTGGTTAAAAAACCCACACTGTTAAATTGTTAAAAAGGTATGGTGCTTATAGCATAATTTCTGTCATAATTCCAGGGACTCAATTCCTTGCTTACTGGGGCTCACAAAAGCATGAGCCAGTGAGGAAGGGTTGGAAGCCAGAAACAGACATAGCCATTATTAAGAAGAAATGGCCCAGTTGTGAGCCTACTTTCTGAGGCCAAGAGTCCAGCATTAAGTTTCCAAAGGAATGAAGCAAACTTGAGGTTAATTCCATTCACATCTACATAAGCAGGTCTACCTGGTCCCAGTGGAGCAAAACAACAGAAAGTCTAGACAATGTTAATTCTGCAAGCCAGACAGAGCTTTTGAAGGAGTCCAGCCAGTATCAAGTCCCCAGCCCGAGACCATAGCCCCATAATGAAGCTAGCCAAGAGCTGGATGAGGTGCTGGGATCTCCCCTCTGAAGGTTGGGCTTCAAGGGAAGACCACAGGCCTAGCAACTGTCTGAAGTATAGAGCAGAAAGATGCAGTCAGAGTGGGTCACTCTGTAAGGAACAGGTTATACCCAGTACGGCCTCCACCCAGCATGGCTTCCAGTTCCTAAGGTGGTTTTCAACAAAACAAATTCTAAACTCTACTTCCTAGCAGAGGTGAGGTACTTAATGTGCTCTAGAATGAGGATGAATCTGGAAATTAATGCCAGTGAGGGAGAGCCAGTGAAAACCCACCTTCTGGGAGAAAAATTAGTAGCCCTCAAAGGACTTGGTCAGATGGCCAAGTCATATGGAGGACTTGTCTCCATGTACATTAGCTATGCCCCAGGAGAAGCGATTGTTTCACCCATAGAAGGTCCCGAATTCAGTATCTGTTTATGAATTGTCATCGCGATGAATCAGGTTCTGCCCAATGAAGAACCACATCAGCCCAGGGCCCCCTCAGCCTGCCAGGACAGCAAGGGTGCCTCATTCTATTCCCAGCCATCCTCACCAGCCCGTGGGTACATGCTGCTCTGTGTTTCTCTTTTAGGGGTTTCCCAAATAAAATTATATCATTGTATGTGACAAATACAAAATCAGAGTTAAAATGTGCTAGTAATAAGAGGACTAGGAATCTGAACAGGAATAAGAGGGGCAAGAAAATGACAAATGTTCCACATATACAGGGAATGGATGGGAATCAGTGCTGTCAGCAGGCCTCTTAAACTCTTGACGTCAATGGGTACACAGCTGAACCTCTGAGCAGTGTGTTCCCAAAGGTCAGCCTGTGACCCTGACCTGTTTATAATAAACAGGTGCTTCCTTGCTCAAAACTCCCGTTTTCTCACAGCGCATTCAGAAACGCCAGCATCACTTGCAGCCAGGTGGTGATGCTGAAGCATGTTCCATACTCTCTTCACATGGGCTCACCACACTAAAAACAGTCAAGTACCAGTGATTAAGTAGAAAGATGCATGCTTTTGAAAAGTAGAGGATTTGGTTAAATGCGTGGATGGCAATCTACACATGGAAGCAAAGAAATCAACCAAAATTAAAACATAAATTAATGAACCAACAGTGCTTTGCTAATCATGCAAAAGGTAATAGCAAATATAGAATAGAAGGTGTGGTACATTACCCAAAAGCCCTGCTAAAGACCGCATGTCCTTCTCCATCAGCATGTAAATCTCTTCCTCGGAGAAGCGGCCAATGCCGTGGCCGTGCATCTCGCGTTTCACAATTCCTTTCGTTATGTGGCACACGACCCACCTCAGCAGGTTGCTGAAGGGACCACCACCACTAAGAGAGAGCATCTTCCGGGTCTCATTGAGATTGTCCACCCACTGGCAATAAGCTAACGTCCTGGAATTGTGTGGAAACAAGTTACTACTGTGCATCAGGTACATGTCAGCTCCACAGGGTCACTTTAGAATGAGTCGTTCAGAATTCAGTACACTCTGGAGGAACTGAATAACTGCAGCTTTAACAAAGAGCAATCTGCATGGCAGATACCACAGCAAGCTCTAGTCAATGCCTAGACTTAAGGGGTTGTGGAAGAAATAGGAAAAAATCCAGATAAAGATGCCATCAAACCTGGTACCCACCCTCAGACCTCTCTCCTCCCCTCCCAGTGCCACATTTCTGCCTTCTCTCACATAACCCCACAAAATACAAGTAGAAACCCCCTTGAAAATTCTTTGAGTCAAGATAGTGAGCACTCCTGGGGACACAGGGCAGGTGGCAGTAGTGACTGGGGTGCTGGTATCATTCTCTTTCCTGAGCAAAATGATGGTTCCACAGGTTTATGCTTGGTGTTCATTAATTTAGCTGCACATTTCTATTTTATATACTTTGCATATGCATTTTACATTTCATGATACAAAAGAATTAAAAAAAAAAGAAAGAAACCTCTTTGCCTTTTAAAAAAAAGACACAGGGTCTTGCTATGTTACCCAGGCTGGACTCTAACTCCTGGGCTCAAGTGTTCCCCCAACGTCAGCCCTTGGAATAGCTATGACTACAGGCACGCATCCCCACACCCAGTCTTATTGCTTTTTTGAAAGAGGATTAGAGAATAAGTGCACCTGACCAGCTTTCTTATAAGTTAAAATATTATGTAAATGATTTGCTCTCCAAGAAAATCAACTCTACCTCAGTTTGTTCTCAAGAACTCTGAAGGGAACACAAATGTCCCTGGAACTTGGTTGAATCCTTTTGCCCATCTAGGTGATACTAGTGGTAAACCTGCTCATTCAGGTGCTCCTGAACACGGTGTAATCCACATGCAGAGTCCGGCAGCTTTCGCTGTTCAAACATTTTGCTGGCCACTATACCCAGGTCTTTGCTGATTTTTTTCTCCAAAGAGTAAAAATTTTTTTGATGGATAACAGTGTTGGTAGATATAAAGAAAAAGGGTTTTCTACTAAAGGCTGCGAGAACATAGCTGTGTGGGAGTACAGGCATAAGACATTTTCATTTTCCCTCACAATTAGTAATAAAAGACATATTGGCAATCATCTCTACCCTTAGCGCTGGTTGATACAGCAGTAATGCCACTTCGAAAAATTCAGAAGCCAGGTGTGGTGGTACATGCCTGTAGTCCCAGCTACTCAAGAGGGCCAGGCAGGAGGATTGCTTGGGCCCAGGAGTTTGAGGCCAACCTGAGTACCATAGTGAGACCATTGTATCAATCAATCAATCAAGATTTAGAAATAAAAAGAAATTCATGCAATTGGAAAGTGGCAGAGCCAGAATGCTGCATTTTTAAAGTTTTGTTTTTTTTTTTTTAATCGAAGGGTTAAAAAATATGTTGAGAGAACTCAAGGGATGATAGTAAATCACAGCTGTGATAAAATGCTGCTTTCCACCTTAAGAAAAAATAGGCATTTTGATCATTTTATAAAGTTCTATTATTTAAGAGTTCTCTGTTCTAAAAACAAATATAAATGAGAAATAGATTTCTCTACAATTGTTGCATTCCTGATTTTTACCAAAAAGTCTTACAGCCAACATACCCCCTGTGCCATAGCTATAGCTGTTCTTTGCTACCTTTTTAAAAGAATGCCCACAAATCTTGTTAGAAAGCTTTGTTGCCTCTTTTGGTAAGTCTCTCAAAATAAAGTACTGAAGAATCAAGAAACAGTTTTTCCCCAAAACAGGAAGAAGTATATCACAATAGTGATGAATTAATGTATATAGTCAGAGCACCCCATTGATTTTTCAATACAGAATATCTTGCACTTTTTCTAGTAAATTCTATATAGACACAGAAACTAAATATTTTCCTACTTGCTCCTTTTTTCACACCTGCAGTAATTAAGGTGGCAATTTTCACATTCCATTAGAATAATTCAGCACTTTGATTCTAATTGTATTAGGTCTAAATTCACAACAAAAGAGTTACACAACCTTTTACCATACTGGAAGTCAATGGTCTTAGGATAAAACTCAATTACTCTAAATTGAACATGTCCAAGTAATAACAGCATCCAAAAAAAGCATCTAGAGTGGGAAAATGCAGAATGTGTGGCTCTAAGCTCACAGGTTAGAAGGGGAAAAAATTCCTTTGTGACCAATTACTCAGGTTTAATCATAAGCATAACTGACCAGGCTCACCGGGCAGATCAGAGGGTAAAGGTGTGCACATGAAGGGCATCAGCAGCCTGATAACTGCAAGAACTTTCATAAGGAGCACATGGCTATAGGATGCTTTTGGGGAAGCCTGGAAGAGGGAGGCTGGAGGTGCGGGCATGGGCCCGGTCAGGACAGGCCTAAGGAAAGGGAACTGAACTTTATTCCCAGAGCAAAGGTTAACTGCCAGAAGGCTTTAAACAGACAAGAAACATACTCAGATTTGTGGCAGTGTAAAGGAAGAACTGGAAGGTGGAGAAAATGCTGGCAGGAAGGCCAGTTACCACACTACAGCAAAACCAGGCACGAGATGATGCGCTGGGTGAGGCAATGGCAGAAGGAATCCATAGGAGAAACACTGCAACTGAAGAAAAAGAATCTATTGGTCTACAATGGATCTAAAGATTTATAAGTAAGGAGAAATTAGGTATTTTTTTCTAAAATAATAGTTTAATTGGATGATAATACCACTAACCAATACCAGATTACACAGGGTAGAATATATTTTGGGTGATGAAAGATGAGTTAACCTGTAGCATTTGAAGTCCCATGGAAACCCTAGGTGAAGATGTCTAGAAGGCTGAGAAGTCAGGAGACAGGTTTAGACTCCAGCTAGAGAACTGGTGAGCAGGGGCATGTTGGTGGTGGTTTTAAAGCTGTGAGAGGAGATGAGGTCACTTTAGGAAGTTTCTAGAGTGTTGAGGAAACCAGTTCAAGGGCAAGTTAGAAGATGTGAAAATCAGGCTGAAAGAGGCAGCCTGGAGAGAAGTAGGGACATCTTTCTCTGCGCTGGAGAAAAAGAGAGTGTTGTAAGAGGTGAGGGGCTACAGAGAAGTTTACAGTTCCTGCCTGATGACTTCAGCTTCCTCTGTAGCACAGGAAATGAGAGCACGCACACCAGGTAAAATCACAGCAGTAGAGAGTTTTAGGAGTAGCAGGCAGGAAGGGAGAGGCAGCTGTTCTGGGCCACACAGCTTGGCAGGGAGGAGTCTCTGCAATGGTGCGAGGTTCTCTACCTGCAGCAGGCTGAATGCAGGACACAGAAGAAGGAACACTGGGTGGGTTCAGAATTTCACAGCTAGAAGTAACCTCAGAAACTGTCTGGTCTTCCTCCCTTCTCCTTCCTACCTTGCTCTTGATTTTTCTTCCTCTCTTTCACTCTCTGTGCCCAATATTATCGACCAGTGTCAGAGAAGAGAAGTAAATGAGGGCCAGGCAGGCTCTTTAAGGGTTGAAGCCAGGGAAATGTATATAAACTTTAAATACCAAAGAAAATAGATTCCTAAATCAACTACTACAAGCAAAAGACATCACATTGTATGTTTCTGTGTTATTGCAAACAGGAATCCTTCTCCTCTCACAACGAAGATTCTTGAAAACTCTGTTCATGTGGTTGGAGCCTCTACCCTAATCACTCTACCAAAATCACTCTTGTTCAAGTCAACAGTGCAACATCTAAATAAACCATCTTTCTATATTCTTGAACTCTCTAAAGCATCTGACACTATTGGCCTCTTTCTTGGAACTCTCCCTTAGCTTACACTTCTACTATTTTTCCTTCTACCCCTTACATATTCCCAGGATCTCTATCTTCATTCCTCTCTTCCTACTCCACACTTGCGGAGCCATCTAACTCACACTCATGACTTCACACCCATGTTTCCATAGCCAGCCCTCTCCTGAGATCAATGGATCCTATGTGGGTGCAAACCAACATTTCCAAAATAGCACTCATCATCTTTGTTCCATTCAAACCTGATTCTCCTTGCCCAAACCAGGATCCCAGGAGTTCTTCACTATCCCCTCTCCCTCACTCCTGACATTCAGTCACCCTGTGAATTTGCCCTTTCTCCAACTCCATAAACACTGCAGTTCAGCCCTTCATTATTTCTTAACTACGAGGCACACGGCCTCCTACCAGGTCCCCTGACATCCCTTCAAGGCCCTTCAGAAATCCATTTGCTCCAAGGGACACAAAGAACTTCCTAAACACAAACCTAGTCATAACACTAATGCTTCTTAAGTCATTCATTAACTCCCCACAGCTTCTTTGCATGGCATACCAGCTCCTCTCCCCACATTGTAACCCCTCTATGGCCTGACCCTTCTCTGGCCCCATCTCCCAGCACTGACTCCCATGCACCCTATACACAAGCCATACAGAATTACATGCACCTCCCTGTTATAGACTGAACGTTCACATCCCTCTAAAATTCATGTGTTGAGACCTGACCCCCAGTATGATGGTATGTGGAGGTGGAGCCTTTGGGATATGATTAGGTCATAAGGGCAGAGCCCTCAGGAACAGGATTAGTGTCCTTATAAAAGAGACCCCAGAGAGCTACCTTGCCCTTTCCACCACATGTGATTACAGGGAGAAAAATGACTGTCTATGAACCAGGAAGCTGCCCTCACCAGACATCAAATCCACTGATGCTTTGAACGTGGACTCACCAGACTCTGGAGCCATGAGAAACAAACCTGTTCTTTATGAGTCACCCAGTTGATGGTATTCTGTTATGGCAGCTCAAATGGCCTAATATACTCCCCAAATGCCTCCTTCTTACCTCTAAACTTCTGCAGATGTTGCTCCCTCTGCCTGTACATCCTAACCTTTCCCTATCACCAGCCCCTCATATGCCATTCCAACTGTCCTTGGATTCCATTTGACAATATCTCCTCTGCAAAGCCTTTCCCTCTTCTCTCCAGTAGTGGCTGGCTGCCTTTCCTTGGTTCTTCAAACCCTTCCCCAGCACTAACCATTACAAAGACTTGGTGTCTCCCTCCAGCCCTTGAGCCACTTGATGACAGGTATACCATCCCGGTCACTAATAGTCATTCATTAAATTTGCAGAAATCGTGAATTATTGATGAAATGAAAAAAAGGCTCTGTTTTAGAGTCAGCTACTGCTAAGCAGTGTTCCTAAGGGATGACACATACTTAAATAGAAAACTGGGAAAAGAGACTATGAGACATGCCTATGGAAAACAAAGAAGGGGCTGCGACTTTCTCTTGGAATCCCCGGCTCTTCACTCTCCCCTGGGAAGAGGCCCACTGCAAAAGGAATCGTGAATTATTAACTGCAGGGGACAGGGAGGGTCAAGTTGGAAAGCAGACAAGGCTAAGCAATTAAAGTAATTCATCATTTTGAGAATCTATTTCAAGAAGTTGAAATACTCATTTTCCTTATCACAACTAATGTATCTTATCTCTTCTGCAAAGATTGAGTCAAAGAGATTTTTTTAAACAGAAGAGAAGAACAAAACCTGCTCAAAAATGTTTAAAGGTGAACAAGAGAACAATCAAAGAGAAGCTGACCCCTGATATTTTAATGAACAAATCACAGGTATTCTATCTTATACCTGGCCCATGATAGAAATGAATATGTATAAGTGGAAGCCCATAACAAACAATAATTTGATGACTGAGTATCAACACCTGGCCTTCCAAATCACGAGAATGCCTTTCTCTGCATAGAGCTATATCTTTGCTGTCTTTGCTTACACTCTGAATATATCTGCTCAAAAATACAGGAGCATATGATATGCTTCTGTAGTTTCACCAAGTTTCACAAGCATTAGATCAACCCCTCCAAACAAGGGCCCCCACTACATCTAAAACTGGGGTGGGGAGAAAAGAAGAACCTAAGAACCAAGCTGTAATCAGAAAGAGTAGTCTGTTGGCTTTTAGAAAAGATCTTCTTGGTTAAGTCAATTTACAAAAGTATCCCATCTCCTCCCATCTCCAGAACTACACTCAAAATTTTAAAATTATGGCCAACCTAGAAGTAAGTTTGAATTCACTGTTCTAATGCCTGTGCGTATGCACACACACAGGCATTAGAACAAGGAATTGTTATTTTTTTTAAAAGACACGGTCTCACTCCATCACCCGGGATGTACTGAGGTGGCACGATCACAGCTCACTGAAGCCTCAAACTCCTGGGCTCCCATCTCAGTCTCCTGAGTAGCTGGGACTACAGTGTGTGCCACCATGCCTGGATAACTTTTTTGTAGAGACAGGGTTTTGCCATGTTGCCCAGGGTGGTCTCGAACTCCTGGGCTCAAGAAATCCTCCCGCCTCAGCTTTACAAACTGCTGAGATTACAAGCATGAGCCACCATGACTGCCCCTAATGGCTATATTTTTATGGGTGAAAATATTATAATAACTACATAGTCTGAAAAGAATACCCATATGGGGTTGAAAGACTGAAGATGCTCACTGACATCCACAAGGGGGCAGGATCACACTGAAGAAGCTGTAGTGTGCTACCAAAAATCAATTTCATTCCAGTAATTTGATCCCATGTCTAGCTGACTTCCCTTTACACCAGCTTCTCTGTACTTAAGCATTCAGGAGAACAAAGGGGATTTTTTAAAACCGTGTTCTTGATCTTCAATAATAGTTTTTATAATGGAAGGGGAACATCATTGTATAGATTTCGAGTGGAAGAAAAGCCACTTTAGAGCTGAGTATGTTTATTTGAATAGACCTAAAACAGTTTCAGAATTATGTGATATAACATAACAACACTAGCTTTCCATTGCCTTTGCTTTTCATAAAATCATACCTGGGGTGTTTTTAAGGTTTCAGGCCAAAATAAAAATGAAAACTCAACATAACTGAATCAATTGAGTCAAACAAGGTAGGTTTATTAAATTTCCTCTTCTGGCTCTGTGAGTATAGACACAACCTAAGAGCTCATTGACTGTTAGAATTTAACAAGATATCATGTAAAGCTCATACTTGTAATATTTTCCTACATATTTTGGTCCGATTCTTATATGCTGGGCCTCGGCTTTCGTGGGTAGACATTTCCTGTGTGGCCTTGGAACCCCAAGATGGAAGGAGGGGAAGTGCCTGAGGGAAGAGTATTTTAAGATTCTGGGTGGGCATGGTGGCTCACGCCTATAATTCCAGCACTTTGGGAGGCCGAGGCGGGTGGATCACGACATCAAGAGATCGAGACTATCCTGGTCAACAAGGTGAAACCCCTTCTCTACTAAAAGTACAAAAATTAGCTGGCATGGTGGTGCACACCTGTAGTCCCAGCTACTCAGGAGGCTGAGGCAGGAGAATTGCTTGAACCCAGAAGGCGGAGGTTGCGGTGAGCCAAGATAGTGCCATTGCCCTCCAGTCTGGGTAACAACAACGAAACTCCATCTCAAAAAAAAAAAAAGATTCTCTGCCTGGGGCATGGGGAAAGGAGGGTCTCTTCTCCATTGGGATTTAGAGCTCTCCTAAAAGTCTCTTCAGGGTTTCCCCAAAGCAAGAAGTTGGCTAAAGGCTTGGAAACCCTAAGAAACAGAGAGAGACTTGTTTTTCCTTCTGATACTAGAGACTAAATGGAACTGTAAGAATTAGCAGTGTTAGTTTGAAAGTTTATTAGACATGTGCATCTCAATCAAGACCTTTCCTCCCACCTTCACTATTTTTTCCTCAAATTAACCATTGAGAAGACATAAGGAAGAAATAATAGCTAACCCCGCCAACATTTTTCAAATCAAAAAGTGAATTAGAGAAATGTAATTGTCTTAGAAGAGTCTACATATGACCCAAGCAGATCCTCAAGGCTTTGGGAGTTTGTAGTCCACAAAATTAAGATCCTTCGCCACTGGGCACCACTTCCCAACTCTTACCCCCACCCCTCATCCCCACCCACACTCCACCCTCCATGGAGTATCAGCTGGGGCTGGTGAAAGGAGAGATGGAAAGGGAAGGGCAGGGATGAACTTTTGGCAGGGAGTAAAGTTATATAAAATGACATGTACACACACGTAGAACAAAAAGCAGTGATGTGTGGCAGTTGGAAATGTTTCTGGGTCAAAAACTTTCTAATGGAAATATATATTTTCTAAACCACTATGGAAATCAAAGAGTTGTAGCCAAAGTGACAAATGTATGGCTTTCAGCTTTTCAGACAGCTAACAAAGCAATAGCTCTGGCAATCAATGGGCCCATCAATCAAATGGGGCAGTGCCTTGGAGGGTTGCTGTGGAGGGAAGGCACTCGGGTCAGGTGACCCTGTGCGGGTCCTTCATTTCCCTTCACATAGGCAGAACCAACTAGAGCCCAGTAACCAAGTGCGTGGGCTCTTCATGAGGCTTTTCTCAGAAGCGAAGTTTTTCCTGGAAGTTATGCATGTCAGATGCAGTCATGCATCTTGGTTCTCACTGTGACTGCTGCAATTCTTTGGGAGGGGAGTCCCAGCAGTTCCCCATTACTATTATAAGGAAAAGACCAGGTTCATTCCATGAACACTGAGTCTGATTACTTCCACACTGATCTGTACCCCTATCTCCAGCCTCTCTCCAGCCCCCTTCTTGCTCCCCACTCTATCACCTTTGTAGTGAAGGGAGGGTAGAAGTGGAGCTTAGGTCAGCCCTGGAATACACTGGGCAAGAACCAAAAGCAGGAGAAAAAGAAGAGGGTCACTTAAAATCCGAGAGATAGGAACAGCAAGTTTTCCATTTAGAAAGAGAGTGGAATAAATGAAATAGGGAGAGGAGGAAGAACCTTCTCCAATCAACCCCACACTGAGGATATAACTCAGCGGGAGAGGTTTAATAAAAGCTACTGGGCCAGCATCTGCCTGGGGATAAATTAATACCAAAAACGATGGGCTTAACAATTCTTAATTCAATCTTTGGAACAAAATAAGGTTTACAGAAATCAAGAGAAACTTTCTCTATCTACTGGGGTATAGAAAAAGGTACAGAAACTCCAGAAAATGAAAGAAAAAATTGTAAAACCATAAATAAGTTTGTAAAGCAAAAACCGTATCTGCTTAACTCACATGGTACCACTGCCAACTCAAAGCTATGAAAGAAAACAGAACAGGGAAAACTCATCAACTCATGTGATGCTTCAAACTTGGGGAATTCAAAAAAGGAGTTTGCATTAGGCCAAAGAAAACCCAGAACGGAGTAGTACGCTTTACTTCTGGAACATGGAGAAGCTCTTGTTATCTATGGAAAATTGACCCTAGGTATTCTATATTGACTTGTCTTCCAGTCCCTCCTCTGAGTGTCTGACATATTACTTTAATTCAACAGTTTATACAGAATTGGTAAAAAGCCCTGGGCCCAATCAACTGAACAATCTTCCTCAACTCAGTGAGTTCTAGTGTAGATCAAGGGCCATCAAATTATAGTCCATAGGCTAAGAAGTTTTCACATTGTCAAATGGTTGAAAAAAAGCAAAAGAAAGGTATGGTCCATTAAATGAAATTCAAGTTTCAGTATCCATAATAAAGTTTCAGTGGGACATGGTCAGGCTCATTTGCTGGCATACTCTCTATGGCTGCTTCTGTGATAAAACAGCAGAGTTGACTAGTTGCAAAAGAGTCGTACGGCTGGCAAAATCTAAAGTATTTACTGGCTGGTCCTGTACAGAAATGGTTTGCTGACCCCTGATCTAGGTAACCAGAAACTCAAAAGTCGTAACTTTGACGACTGAGCCAGTCAGACTTTTCATCCAAAACTGTCAAGGTAGAAAACTTTTGAAAAGGTGGAAAGAGGATCTGAAAAGTGAAACAGAACTTGGGGCTTACTTCAAAAGGATGGGGACACCCAGAGGGGACTCACCAGTAGAAGTGCTCCTCCACCATCTTGGTCACCGCTCTGGAGATGGCTCTTTCATGAGGGCCAAGGTTTTTGTTTAAATTCACTCCAAGTTTCTCTTCCAGAAAGTCAATTATGAATTCTGTGCCAGAAACTTTTTCATGATTATATTCAATCCAAGGCATTTTCCCTTGAGCAGAAAGCTTTCCACCAAAATAGTTCTAAGCAGAAGTACATTTTTAAAAAGAGAAAAGCAATATTGTATTTAAATTCTACTGCATGATTAATAGAAACAAACATTCCAACCTTATGTTTGACAGTGACAGTACTCTTCAAGTGAATGAACTCAGGGCACGAACTCCTCAAGACAATACATGGTTACTCTAGGAAAAAAACTTGTTTAACCTCACATAGAGATATCACTTTATGTTCCCATAGATTTTATCATGGACTTTGGCTTATTATGGAAAGGAAAAAAAAGACCCCAAGGGCAAGGGATGGTGGGGATAACGGGTAGCAGGCTGAAAGTGTTGAAATGACCCTGGTAATAGTCAGTCTAGTTTTAATGTACAATCAATTAAAAAACTCAACAAGTAAAAATAAACCACAAGGAGGTGTGTACTGACTGAGCAACTAACCAAAGGCCTCCCTTGAAAACCAGTATCTCACACCTGAATAATACTTAATACCACTGCACTGTAAATGAGCGGTCTCCAAAGGTTATAATGCTTAGGTGTAACAAAGTATGTACAACAGGCTCAACTACTGTGCCTCTTAAAAATGCAGGTTCTTGGCCAGGTGTGGTGGCTCACGCCTGTAATCCCAGCACTTTGGGAGGCTGAGGTGGGTGGATCACAAAGTCAGGAGTTCAAGACCAGCCTGGCCAACATGGTGAAACCTCATATCTACTAAAAATACAAAAATTAGCCAGGCATAGTGGTGGGCACCTGTAACCCCAGCTATTTGGGAGGCTGAGGCAGAGAATTGCTTGAACCCAGGAGGTTGGAATGAGCTAGGATCGCTCCACTGCACTCCAGCCTGGACGACAAAGTGAGACTCCATCACAGGAAAAAAAAAAAAAAAAAAAGCGGTGTGCCCTAGCCTGGACTTCTGGATAGGATCAGAATCCTGGGGATAGTGCCCAGAAATCTGGGTTTTTTGACAAGCTGTCATTGGAAGAGAGAATAATGGAGATTTGGACTGATCTCTGCCTCCTCGTGTCTTTTTATCTCACTGCTTATTCTAAAGAATAAAAGTGGGCCTAACCTTGAAAAGGGTAATAATTATTGGGGATGTTATAGGGGCTGCTGTTAGTCATATTGCCTTTGTGCAATTTAGAAAATAGAACCTCCTCTGGGTGAAAATGGTCCATGCCAATGTTTGGAGCTTGGCAAGTAGAACTGGGTCAAGACTTCACCCCTTCTCCATCCTTTGGCCAGGGACTCTTGTGCAGTGAGCAACCTACACAACCATACATGGCCTCTCTAGACATTACCCCTGATGTTAACCAAGAGAAATGTCAACTATTTCTAAAAGTTGCTAATACATCTAATATTCTTGTAATCTGTATACTAAAGATGTAAATTTACCACATACCATAACCCCCATTTCAGATTTCTCTTGATGCCATCAATATCCTCTTAACATAGCCCCTTTCAGACTCTTGTCATTCTCAGATGCAATCTATCTTCCACACTGCCCCCAGAGGGAACTGTTCACAATGCAAACGAGACCCAAGAACCCTGCTGCTCAAAATTATCCAATGGCTTTAATAGCTCTAGTCTACAAAGTACCCCTTTTCACACAGCAATCTAGACCCACGCCCTTCATCTAGCCACTGCCCACCTGCCCGGTCTCATTGGCTATGAGTTCCTCTTGTCTCCTGAATTCCAACTCCCCCTACCCAGCCAGGTCAAGGTGTTTGCTCACCTCCCTGACTTTGTGCACTCTTCACCTTTTACAGGAATCCTTTTCTCCATCCTCTGTAAAGTTCTATCCATGCTTTAAAAAAAAAATCAGTTCAAATCTCACCTTGTTAGGTAACTATTTCCCCAGGAAGCAACCATTATTTGCCCTTCCTCTGTGCTTCCACTGTATGGTGTGTAGTAACCTATCCTTACAGAATAACTATTTACACAACTGCCCTTCCCTTGAGATCACCCTTTCCCCTGAGAACTTGTTATGTGTTTATCTTGACTACTTTTTTTTTTTTTTTAGACGGAGTTTCGCTCTTGTTACCCAGGCTGGAGTGCAATGGTGCGATCTCGGCTCACCGCAACCTCCGCCTCCTGGGTTCAGGCAATTCTCCTGCCTCAGTCTCCTGAGTAGCTGGGATTACAGGCACGCACCACCGTGCCCAGCTAATTTTTTGTATTTTTAGTAGAGACAGGGTTTCACCTTGTTGACCAGGATGGTCTCGATCTCTTGACCTCGTGATCCACCCACCTCGGCCTCCCAAAGTGCTGGGATTACAGGCTTGAGCCACCACGCCCAGCCTATCTTGACTTCCTTATAATATAGGAGTAATAAAAAATAATAATCAATTTTTATGGAAATGAAAGTTCTAGTATGTTTTCACGATCAACAATTATATTTTGATTGCTAGGTAAAAAGCAAGAGACAACATTTCAGAGATACTCTGATTACATCTGAGTAAACTTAGATGAATGAAAAAAACATTAAAAAAGAGAGACTCACAAATATGTCACTAGTAATTGGCAAGACTAGGGGTGAGACGCATATAATCTTTTTATCCCATACATTTCAATTTTTCTAAATGCGGTTGTATCATTTTTAAAATAAAAATTATAGAGACAGGATCTCACTGGTCTCAAACTCCTGGGCTCACACAATCTGCCTGCCTCAGCCTCCCAAAATGCTGGAATTACAGGCATAAGCCACTATGCCTGGCCTAAAAAAATGTTATTTTATTTATTTATTTTTAAGAATGAAAAAAAAAGAAATGAAGGAGAGGAAGACAGAGGAAGAAAAAGAGGGAGAGAGAATTGTGGCTTTATTCTAAAAATGGGTATTGAAAACTTCTTTTATGCCAATAATTGTGCTTAATAATGGCCAATCAATATTTGATTTGAAGCTATGAGTAGCTGTGGTGTGATACTGATAAGAATGTACATTTTGTGTATTTAAAGTGGAGAGTTCTATAAATGTTTATTAATATTATTTGTTCCGGATCTGAGTTCAAGTCTTGGATATCCTTATTCATTTTCTGTCTCATTGATCTGTCTAATGTTGATGTTGAAGTCTCCCACTATTATTGTGTGGGAGTCTAGGGAGTCTTAAGTCTCTTTATAGGTCTTATATATCTGGGTGTTCCTGTATTGGGTGTGTATATATTTAGAATCATTAGCTCTTCTTGTTGCATTGATCCTTTTACCATTATATCTTTATTGCTTTAAAATCTATTTTATCAGAGGCGAAAATTGCAACTCCTGCTTTTTATTTATTTATTTATTTATTTTTGCTCTCCATTTGGTTGGTAAATCTTTCTCCATCCCTTTGTTTTGAGTCTTTGTGCATCCTTGCATGTGAAATGGGTCTGGATGCAGCATACCGCTGGATTTTGGCTGTGTCTTTTGATTGGGGGATTTAGTCTATTTAAATTTAGGATTACTGCCATTTGATGTTAGCTGGCTGTTTTGTCCATTCATTGATGTAAATTCTTCATTATGTTGATGCTCTTTACTTTTTGGTATATTTTTGGAAAGCCTAATACTGGTTGTTCCTTTCTATGTGTAATGCTTTTTCAGAAGCTCTTGTAAAGCAGGCCTGGTGGTAATAAAATCTCTGAGTACTTGCTTGTTCATAAAAAAATTTATTTTTCCATCAGTTGTGAAGCTTAGTTTGGCTGGATATGAAATTCTGAGCTGAAAGTTCTTTTCTTTAAGGATGTTGAATATTGGCCCCCACTATCTTCTGGCTTGTAGGGTTTCTGCTGAGAGATCTGCTGTAAGTCTGATAGGCTTCCCTTTGTGGGTAACCTGACCTTTCTCTAACATTTTTTTTTAAATGTTAAAAATGTTGACTTTTTTTCTTTTCTCCCTTTAATTTTTTCCTAAATATTTTTATTTCAAACAAAATGAGACAGGATCTAGTTGTGCTGCCCAGGCTGACCTTGAACTCCTAGGCTCAAGTGATCCTCCTTCCTCAGCCTCCCAAGGTGCTGGGCTTACAGGCATGAGCCATCACACCCGGCCAAAATAATAATTTTTCTTAACTTCTTTAAATCTATTGAAGAACTCATGGACTACTTTTATTTAAGCAATTAGACTCTGACATTCCACTGAGGGTAGCTTCTGGAAAGTAATTTTGAGACGATGAAAAGGTAAATCCTCCATATTTTTTCCATGTTTTTTCCTTCTGTGAGTCTGCCCCAGACGAGACTGATGCAGCCACACATATACTACATTAAAAGCATGGCAGTGAAAGCAATAGGCTTTGGATTTCAAAATATCATTCCATCATTTATCCACTGAGTGACCCTGGACCTCCCTGGGTCTCCCTTAACTGTCCTTGGGCCTCAATTTCCTCATCTGAAGAGTGAGGATAATAACAGTTGCTAGGATGGAATGAGACGATGCACAGTGCCTTCATCAGAAGTATTTAGAGATGAAGAACTTGACACCCTAAGAGAGATGCCAGAATCTTGGGACTCTGATTTGATATACCGGCCATGGTACCCAGAGGTTTCAGGTAAATATCTATTATATTCACTCCACCCTGGAGCTCTCTTGAGTCATCTTCCACTGGCTAAATTTGAAATAATTTGAGCAGCTTGTGTGGATTATAAGACATTGAAACAATCCATGCATCCAGTATGTATTTCATTTTGAAGAAGAATATCCTTATTTTTTGAAGCTGCATGTTGAAGTATTGCAAGGTGATGTGTCATGATTTCTGCAACTTATTTTAAAATGGTTTATCAAAAACACTGTTCACAGATGTTTATGTAAAGAGGGAGGAAAAAGCAAAGGAGGAGACATATTAACCATTCATGAATGGTTTGGGCATAGGGGTGTGCACTGTACTATTCTTTAGACTACAGCTTAGAAAAAAAAAAAGATGCAGGAGGGGAGACAAGATCAGCAAACAAATACATCAAAAGTTAGGGCTGACAAAAAAAAAAGTTAGGGCTGTCAGCTGAGGCAGAGACCTCCAAAGGAAACATTTCCTTTTTGCTTTCTCTTACTTAAAAAGAATTATT